TTTTTGGCTCAGCCGTGGTTTAAAAACGCAATAGTACTGACGTGATAATAATTAATTTTGCGATCGTAATTAAATTTTTTTTTCCTTTTGTTCTTTTTACTTAGTTTATTATTTCCCTTTTATTTCGTGGCAAATCATAGATCAGCAAAAACAGCAGCAAAATTTGTGATAGCTACAGTTCGCTGCAATAATTGGATTGGAGATGGATGATATCCAAGACTCTATTCATAGGAAACAAAGTTTTTTTTGGCTGTTAGGTTTTATAAAATGGCTTATCAAAGCTATTTCTGCCACAACTTTTTCTTCCTGACAAACATAACAGCGGTTTTAAGGAATACGTATTCTCTTCTCGAAGAATATTCGAGGGATAAGGCCACTCCAAGTTTTGCTATATATGGTCCTTTAAATAATTAGGAATAGGAATGACATAAAGGGACAATTATGGGCGTGGCAGATCTTTAAATGATCAGAAAATTGAGCTTTTGAACACATATATATATATTCTTTGAAAATTTACGTTTTTCTCGAAACTGGCATTTTGGAAACGGCCCTTATAAATCTTGTTGCCGTCCTTCTCCATCGTTTCACAACAGTGGGTGTGAAACGAGCGATTCTTCTGTAAAGTGTACTTACGAACATCAAATGGCCAAGCAAAAAGAGCGAAAAAGAATATTTGTACATAGAAAAGTGTTTTTATGATCCTTGTGACCTGATAAAAAAATAATAAAAAATTTATCATAATATTATAACATGTCCTTGGCACATTTGAAAATCGAAATTGTGCTTTTTTCGAAACTCCAATAATTTTCAAATTTTTTAGTCGAATTTTTTACGCTAGCTTTGCAATGGAATTCTCTAGTGAATCACTTGGGATACTTTCGAAAATTAATCGAAATATTTCTTACTGTTCGTCGATCGATTTCCCAAAATAAGGTCCGACGCGTTTCTCTAGCTATAGACGATGATTATTAATTAAAAAATTTATTAAATCCCCCGGCATGGCACACAAGCTGTTGGAACTCCGAAAAAGCGATGTACGCCTCGTAACTGGTTTCTACATATCGATCGGTACTTGGAAGGAATCCTCTGCTGCCAATCACAGCCTGGCTGCATATTTTTTGCGTATTGTGTCTTCTATTACTCACTCGTCATCCTCTCGCAAATTTCAAGATTGATTTAAATAAGTTACATGAGAAAGGCAAAAATAAAATTTATCTGCAGTCATCTTTGCGAGACTGCACCGAATAATGTGGGCCGTTTAAAGATCTTTTAAGCATAAGAAATTCTCAGCAACAAGGGCAAGACGAGTTTTTTAATGAATGAAATTTTTGTAGGCATTTTGTGTAGTTTTAACTACATTTTTAAAAATATTATTAAGTTTGAATTATATTTTTAAAAATACGAAATAAATAAACAAAATGACAAATTAAGATTTAAATGTGGATTTGCTGATTGATTTGTGCAAGATTTTACTTTCTTTATAAATAACTTTGATACCAATCATACAATTGTAAGTGTGGTTGGGTGTGCATTTCATTCACTTTTACGTTTGATTTGAAAGAAGAGGAGTTAAAAATTGTTATGCATATACTTCAGTTTTTGCTGTCGGATGGCCAGGATTAAACCGACTCCAAACTATGTAAACATTTCCTTATTTTATAGAATCCTTTAGATATGTCTTGCCAAAATATTACTAATCACTCATGGTTCAACGGTGAATATAAGAATTGGAAAGAATTTCCTAAACCATAGGCGGCTTACTTGGCCGATCGGAGCCATCTATGTGTTGAATTCTTATATGGCTCTGATAATTAAAAAATTCAAGTTTTACATTAATATGTGCGACGAATTCCGCCTAAGTTCTTTTTACCCGTTGCAACGGCTCTGTCTGTAAATCGTGCAAATTTATAAGCCAAATTTAGAGACCTTTAACTAAGCGTGTATATACGTCACCTTCGAACTTTTTGTCTAAATTTCGATAATCTCGAGCTCTCCAACAACAGACGACGAGCGGCAAAGGGATATAACTAGATATTATGTGGAAAAGTAGGATTTTCAGATTACCAAGGACAGGATTCCAATTTCTTTCCACTTTTACACCCTACACCACTTGTGGTACAGTGTATATATTAAGTTGTAAAGACGTATGCAGCACGCGGAATGACTTAAGTTCGACTGGCTTTTATTATACCGATCGATTCATAATCATTGTCTGAGTCGATCTAAGCCTGTCTGGCCCTCCGACGTCTGTCCACGCTAATGTGCTTTGATCCAAGCACGAATACTTTTGAAAATGGTTTCTATCGGTCCACTCTTTCGACTATCCTCCAGATAACGCCCAATTTTGAAACATCATCATAACGAGAAAAAATTGCAATTTTCAAAATTTCTCGACAAAATTCGCTGGACTTTCTAAATGGCATATCAGTTTTTTTTATTTTTTTTCTCTTTACCATCGTAATCATAACAACAACAAATAGGCGGTGAGAAGGATTGGCAATCATAATTAAACTTACTCTGAACTTAATCGCAATCGAGGACATGGCAAGCTTAAGAGATCTGCGAGAAGTACGTGCGTCCGTGTGTTTGTAAGTGCGCGTGTGTACGTTGTATTGTGAATCTGCCAAATATATCTTTAGCACAATATGTGCAGGATCTAGTTGTATAATTTTCTTTTCTTTTCAGTACAGATGAGTATAAAAAGTTGCTACTACTGCAAGCAAAGATTCCTTCCGCAGAAATAGAGCTGGCAAACGATTGGCCTGACAAATCACCATTCACTTAATTATTTTGTCTCCGTCTAACAAAGTTCGATAATTGTAGTTCTTTTAACTCACTTGGGGAATAAAAGCAAGTATATTAAACTGATATTTGATATTTGTTCTGGAGCCATTCACCGTTTTTCCTATTCTAGAGATATTTAAGCGTAAGAGCACTTGAAGCAGTTGGAGCGACAACATCACATGCAAACATGAATGTAATCTCTCTCACTATATTTGGGAAGCGTTCAACACTCGTTACGCGAAACATTTTCTAACAATCAAATTTCCAAAAACAAAAAAAAGAAAAAGGTAGTGTTAAAATTTATTTAAACTTTTCCCAGCAGATATGGAATGTTCAGTTCTTCGCTTACTTGTCGCTTTCGCATTTTTTGTGAATACAAAGTCTAACGGACAAAACATAATAAAAAGTATACCATATATGTTATCAGTTGCCCCCCAAAGCTTATACAAAGCAGCAATAAAAGCTGACTTTTTTTTTTCTTTTTTTTGAGCAATACACACATTTATTGTATTAACAGAGTAATTATAGAAGGAGATAAGCATTAAAAAAAACGATTCAATCAAAATATTTATACAAAGTATCAAATCTTTTTTTTTTCGAGATCAGTGATGTATTCCCTGCTATGGTAAAAGGAATCAAACCAAAAGGAAAAATTGGTTCAATCATGTTTTACTACGACTACCATTAGAAATATTTTTTTCTACAAGCAAATCGATCTGTTTTATTTTTTTATTGTTTGTATGCGTTTGAAGAATCGAAAACAGATATATGCACATACCAATCACGATTTATAAACAAATACTTTTTCAAACATTTTAATTAAAATTTCGCGAAAATACCAACTTTCGTAATTCGTGTAACAATGATTATGCCAACAGTATTCCAGCTTTAAAAGTAGATGACTAAACTCATTATATCGACATGACATTGCAGCAATCACTGCAGCCAAAGGAAGAACAAAGATCGTGGGGGTCCAGCAACCAGTCGTAGGCATACAAACAGAAGTCTTTACAGAAACTCTTCCTAATTACTTACTTACTATTAGTCAACAGAGCAATGAGTAAAAATAGGTACTTACATCACGATGTTGACCCTCCACGGTGCGCTGTAGTACAACAACGCTTACATTATTTTTTTACATTATTTTCATAATCTTAACGTGTGGCATTTTCAATTCGGTTTGACTTTATTTCGCATTTAAAAATACATCAAAAACTTATTAATAATAGCAGCGTTATGTTATGTTTAGCGGCCCATTGTTTGTATTGCTTAAGGAGCAATTAGGAATTGAGTTCTTATACCCTCCGCTACTTTAATCGAGCGTTTTTATTTAAGGATGATCTTATTTGCAACTTGATACGGCCAATACCGGATTGGAGATTTATTGTTCTCGCCTATATTGAACATCTTTACTCAAGGATAAATCGGTCCGCCCCGGAAAGTACGTGTTCCTGATGTGTGCGAGTCCGTCCAGCTATTTCAAAATTAAAACTACACACATCAATATGAATACGAACTCAAGCGCAATGCATATAAATTACTCTGTTTTATTGTATTGAACGATATTCGAATGTCACTACAACACTACTACTATATAAAATCATTTAAAAGTTGGTTTATGTATATTGTCAGTTGCTCTTGGAATAGCGGTGTTAGCATACGATCCGTGCTAACATTTAAACTTACAAAAAATTGACGCATGAAACGTTTGCTTAATCTTTCAGCTAGAAATTGAGAATCCGATAACGAACTCGTTCCAAATATTGTAGTACCCAAAATCTTTTTATCCTGTGGCATTTCCATTGCTACTGCTATTTCATCGAGACATTCCGGTTCAACATTACTTATGAAGAGCATAGTGGAACCATTCATTTTTAAGACACGCAACATATATTTGCTTTCTCCCACTGTTAATAGTCCGTTATTTGAGGTAAATTTTTCCATATTTTGAAAACGAGAGCACTTTTCCTATCCTAGAATCTTTGAGTGGTTGCACAGTGAAGACTTTTTCCTATTTATTTTGCAAAAGGTTGCGATTTTTCTTCACCTGTTATCGATTATCGATAGACACAACACACAAATAAAAACAAAAAACAGCTGAAAATAATTCCTCTAATAATATTTCATTATACTAATTTTTATTACATTTCATATTTCGAGAAAGTCGTCCCAGAGGAAGTTGATTGATTAATAAAAGCTACCCAATGAGTTCTGCTTTTTTTACTTTCACAATTCATAACTTAGCGAATTTACTGCTTTACAAACAATTGAAAAGTGCTAATATTATTGTTCTTCCCAACTTTTTCCACTTTGATATGTCGCAATAGTCAAAACAGCCGGCACAATTGATGCGCTTCTACAATGAACATTTTTGCGGACTTGTTACTATTATTGCAATTTATTTAAACCAAAGGAATAAATTCTAAGATTATTGAGAGGGGGAAAGGGGTGGGCAGTAGCCACTTAGCTATCGGGTCTTCTTCTTTTTGTTTTTAAAGTAAATTAGACGATTAGTTTAGCAGGTTTAAGTTCGTTAGGTATTTTCAAGATATCCATATGGTTAGATGTTCCGAAGACTAAATGTCGAATATTAGAGAAGTTTTGGCTTTCAGGGGGAGTAGATTTTGTAATGATCCATTAATTTGTTGCAATGGTACGCCCTTGCCGCATTTCGATTCGATTTTTGCGAATGCTGCGAAATGAAATCAGATTAGGATTAACATGCGAATAGTGTGGATAGTAGTAATGTAGATTTTTTTTCGTTATTTTATTTTTTCATTTTTTTTCTAGTACACATTTGAAGGTCAAACGTTTTCATTGCGTCGCCCACAATGAATGGCCAAATCCGCAACTTCCGTACTGTTAATTTTCCGTTTTTAAATTTTTGCATTTGTTGGCTCAAGTATATTATTATGCTTGCTACAGTGTAGTTTTTTATGAAAATTTTGCAAATCCAACCTCAATCCTTTTAAATTCAAATGTCATTGCTTACGATTATCTCCATGGAGAATTTCTTCCGCTTCATGAGATTGGCAAAAAGGGACGGGCACAGATTGACTTCTCTTGCACGAAGCAATTCTTCTCCAAAAGGGAAAACTGTAACGGTAACGGCTAGGCTGTATATAAAACGCCCTTGCTATCCGCTAAATTTTAAATTAAAACTTCATTTCAATCTTCGCGATTAGCTGTTGTTTTCGCTTTATTTGTTTATTTTATTATTTTTTTGTTTGAATTTCATTTCGTTATAATTTTGTTTTAATATTCAATTAAATTACATTATGTTGGATGAAATTACGGTTCTACAATTTGAATTAAGAATTTTTTGAACCATTTTCTCGTTATTTATTGAAATTTTAAAATGTCGTGTAAATCTATTGTTAATTATATAATTCGGAATTTTTTCTCAAGTCAATTAGCGTAATAAAGAGTGGAGCAGGTTCGTTTTTATATAATTTTGTCAGTTTTCTTTTTTAATTTAATTTTAATGAAATTTTATATTTAGAACTTTAGAATGTGTGTTTGTAATAATTTAATATTGCAATAATTATTTAAGCGGAAAGTGGGATTTGGCCATTTGTCAAAATAGTAGTAGTAGTAGTGTTCATCTTATTTTTCTTCTCTTTCCATCAAAACTTTTTGGAAGTTTTTTTTTTTTTAAAAATATTAAAAATAAATTTTTGGAAAATTACTGAAAATATCTAAGTGTGCGTCTATGTAAACAAGAGCTAAAAAGGCAAATTTATTAAATTCCAAACGGAGCGAGAGAAGTAAGAATTTTAAAGTATTTTTTTTTCCAAAATTTTTTTTTTTTATCCGTAAATCATTTCTTCGGGCTAATTATATTATTTGCCGGTACAAGAAGCTCGTGCTATTTTAAAGTTTAATCTTCATCGTCTTCTGATTCGGCTTCTTGCAGCCAAGTTAACCAATTATTTACTTGAAACAATGCTGCGCCTTTTCCAGGATATTTGTCGGAAATTTCTTCTTTCCACATTATGAAAGTCTCCTCGTCCATAACTTCGGCCTCGTACAAATATTTAAACCAACGGCAAAGCATACCTTTAGCAAGAAAAAAAAAAAAAAAAAAAAATCGATATATTTTATATATTGTCGGAGTTTCTTCGCAATTGTTTTTCTTACCTTTGGGGAAATTTTCGTTGTAACAGAACACTTGCAGCGCGTAAATGGCTATCAATTGTAGTTCAATGCTATGACCCAAAAATGATTTCAAGATCTGGCAGTATTTGTGTAGCAGACTTTCTTCCTTCTCTATTGTGATTTTATCGGGATAGTTTTTGACATCAGTACCATCTGGGAAGCTGGTCATTGAAGTGACATGTTTGACAATCACCGTCATTAGGGCACTGATGAAACCCTCTTCCTTGTAATGTTTGGCATCTACGTTCGCCTTGATCCATTTGAAAAATATAGTCGGAGTCGGATCATTAGTTAGTTGTTTACTCATTTCGGCTTGCACTTTCAGTAAAGGGTACAAGAAGGTGAGAGAGCGATCGTCTAATATCTCAGACAAGCGTGTTTTATTGCGATCGACTTCTGGCAAACAACTCATAAGATCAACTTTACTGGAGCGGAATTTTTCTTCCAGTTGTTCCTTACCAATGGTCTTGTGCAACTGCTGCAGTACCAGCAAGAACAATGGATAATGTTGACCGTTATCCGCATAGTTAGCTATTTCGCTTAATTTGAGCAAGCCGGGTTCACCTAAAGTAGCTTTACCCAATAAATTAGCCACATGCGTTGTAATGCGCGGATTCAAAGCTTCGCGTTCATTAATTTTGTTAACTACTTGTCTAAACACTTCTAACAATAGATTTGGCTTAAAATTGGCTTGTTTACGCAAGGCGACTAAAAAATTCAAAACGCGATCCAAATACTGTTCTTCCGCTTTCTCCAAAACATCTAATACAATATTAATGCACGCATCTTTCATACATTTTTCATGAACTTTTAAATCCAAAAAACCTTGAAGCAATTCGCTGAATTGCTTATCTTCAATAGCGGACTCCTTTTCCCCAGCGCTATTTTGATCATTTTGGCTCAATTTGTCAGTTTCTGAAAAATAGAAGAACTTTTCCTTAATAAAAACGGCAGTTTTCTTCAGCACATCTTCCTTATTAAAGGCTTTCTCTTTTTTTTGTTGCTTGCTGGAACCAGTGGCGCCCGCTGCTTTCTCAGTAGAGCCTTGTTTAGTGACCAACTGAATATTCGTGGGAGTAGGTAGATGAGATTTCTTATTCTCCGCATTATTAGCATCTTCCGGAACGTCATAGCTATTTGAAGATATTTGTTGAAAAGATAAGCCATTGTTTCCTTGTGTTTGAAATACACTGGTTTTTGCGTTCATTTTATCGATGATGACACCATTATTTTGTTGGTAAACTCCAGGCGTCTTGTTTTCTTGATCTTCTTTATATCTCGTCGAAGAAATCAAACGGGCATTTTGCTGTGTATTCAGATGTGTCGTGGGATTGCTGAGCAACGGATACTGTGAATTGGATAATTGTGAGTCTCTATTTTGGCCATTATTATGCATATTCCCGTTCGTGTTTGCAGAGTTATTGTTAGCTCCCGGAGCAGTGGTTGGTGGAGTTGAAATGGGTAGCAATGGTGGAAGTTTTTGGTTTTGCGACGTAGCTTTGAACAACAATGAATTCGGTGCTGGGCGCATTTGCAAATTCTCGACACCATCTTGATTAGTAGACATGAGATTGCGTTTGAAACGTGGTGCCAACTCCTTGTTGTTCATTTGATTACTATTGTTATATTGAGAGTTCGATTGTTCGCGGTGTTGGTTGCGATCGTCGCGATTGTTACCACTCACATTAGGACCACCGCTACCCTGTTGTTTATTGTAACGATTATTATAATTATTCTGATTGTTACCCTGACCGCCTCGTTCACGGTTTTGATTGTTATACGGTCGATTGTTGTTAACCGGTGGTGTAAATCTACGAGAGAAAGAAAAGGAAAGCCAATTATAAATAGTTTATGCGGACACTTTCTGCTCAAGTTCCCTGCAATATGTCATTTCAATTGAGAGCTCATTGAGTTGTCTAATCATTACTTACGGTGGTATGATGGGCGAAGCCCCGGTTACACTTAGCCCTGAGAAAACGTCATTTAAACCACAGTTTAAATGGAAGCGATTCATCCAGTTGTCATTGTCGCGATCGTCACGATTATTACGCATGTCGCGATTTCGATTTGCGAATGGTGTGCGTATTAAAGGTCCGTCGTCATCACTGCGTATTTGCTTTATGGGGACTGGACCTTCAGTGGTGGCCACTTTGCGTGGTATCCAATTATTCTCACGCAGTTCGATAACATCCTTTAGCATAAAGCGTATCCTGGGCGGATAATCGGTGGATTTCGATCGGCGTTCCAATTTCTCAAAGTACTGATTCATCAGCTCTTTGCCCTGTTCTGAATCCAGGTTCTTACCGCACGTTTTGAGCAACTGTGCCAAGCACTCCATATCTTCACACAACTCTTCCTTTGTAGCCGTGCGTTTCTTCTTCTTGTCCAGCAGTTCAATGATGCACTGATGCAGCACATTGTTCGATAACATATCCAATTTATTGAGCTCACCAATGAACTTGACATTGCCCAGCATGCGCTGTTTGGCCAAGTGGCGACGTTCGTCTTCGTCCGCATCGTTTTCGGCAGCTGCTTGTGGCCGATGAACTTTATTAAATTGGGAGTCCCCTTCAGCTGTATCACGCTTAAGGCGATCGTTGAATTTATTTCGACAGACGGCTATTAAAAGCCGAAGAAAAGTACACAAACTTTTCGGATCTTTTTCGAATGATGGCGCTTCCTCTGATAGACGCTTGCACAACTGCGCATACATAGACGAATATTTAGGTTCGTCCAAAGCTTTGTCGAAGATCAGCAGGATAACGCCGTTCAAAATGACAATTGAATTTAAATCAAGTTTGAGTAACTCGTCGCTGAGCTCCTGGAATTTTTCGGGTGTTAATTTATTAAGAATGCCACGAACTTTTCTAAAAACAGCATCGTTCTTTTCAGTTTGCGTGAGTGCATGTTGCGGACGCAATGATGGTGGTACCCAACGTCCGGCAGCCGGTGGCGGTGGGGTGGCAGCCGGAGTAGGTTGTTGGCTGTTAGTGACAGCAGCTGGTGCTGCAGGTACGGTCAACGACTGATTAATGAAAATGTTATTTGGCGAAATACCGCGAGACGAAGACGACGAGTTAACCGATGAGGAGGGTGCCGATGACGAGCTACCGCCTACTGATGCATTGTTAATTTCTGTTCCACGTCCTCCAGCTACAGGTGGTGTACGATTACTATAAGAACGATTTTGATTTTGTGTTTGTTCAAAAGTTGTATTTTCCCGATCGCGATGTTCGCGCTCGTAACCTCTCTCTCGATCGCTATTGTTATTACGGCGCAAGGCCGAAGGTGGCAGACGATTGTTATTGCGTTCTCTTTCCAAGCTGTTGGTATTACTATTGTTGCTGTTGTGGTAACGACCCCCACCGGATCGTGGTGTATCCTCGTAATCGCGATAATTGTTTCCGTATGCTTCTTCTGTTGTGTTGTCCCCTCTTTGTAATGAACGATAATTGTTACTATTGTTGTTGCTGTTATTATTATGATGATGGTGGTTTACATGACCATCAGTGGCGGATGATCGCTGTCCGAATGATCTATTGCTGTTATTGTTGTTGTAGTGATTGTTATAGCCGGTATTAGATGAGGAACCGTATTGACGCTGTTGTCCGTTTCCATTGCCGTTGTTGTCATAACGCGGGTTCTGATGCTGGCGATAATTGCCGCCAGAGCCGGAATTTAAATTGCGTGCATAATTGCCCTCTATAGGCCCTTGAGATAATGGTTGTTGCGATTGGTAGCCGCCACGTCTAACGTTGCCGTTACTTTCGTTTTGTTGTTGTGAATTGAACGGTCGTTCGCGTTCACTACCAATTAGACCGGCGCGTCCAGTGTGATTATTTGGGTTGCAGTTGTTGTTGCCGCTGTTGCTGTTGCTATTACCACCAACTCCAGCTTGTGTGCTTCCCAAGATGTCACTATTTTTGTTATAGTAACGCGACGACGACGAATCACTCTGGAAAGATCGTCGAAGCCGTGGGCTCACTTCAGAATCGTGTTGACGAATTTTGACGGAATTCTTGCTATAACCGGTAGAAAAGTGTCCCGGAACACCGCCTGCAGTTCCAGATCTGCCACCGTTCAAATTCGTACGGCCTTCGCCAGAGTTCGGGGAACCCTTGCTATTGCTGTAATTACCGTTACCACCGCCTTTCGAACGATTCGATTCGAGCGTTGGCGAGCTCTTGTCGAACTTCAAGAGATTCTTGAGGTTATTGAATGTATCCGACGCTGTGGTGATGGGCAAAAGATTGGCGCTAGTATTGAGCAGGGTTTTACCGACAGTCGGTGTCGGCGGGGATTGGCCCCCTCCGCGGTTATGGTAACTGTCGTGGAAGCGCTCAGTATCGTTTGGATTAGCCGTTATTGCTAATTTCAAATTGCTGCTGCCGATGCCTGGATCACCGGTACTATTAACTCCCTCAATGGTGCTGGTTGTCGTGATTTTGTCAAACGGCAACGTAAAATTTGGCGCAATTTCTATTTGCTGCGCTTTTCGAACAGGGTTGGACAATATCCAACGCTGCCGTGTATCGTCGTAAGACTGAGAGAATGAACCTTTTAGCGTTGAATGAGGAATGGTGAAAAGTTTTCAGAGAAAATTGCGGACTTAAAAAGAAATTGAAAACGCTGTTAAGAGCGTCACCTGTCTAAAAAGGGTAAACGGCGATAGAAAATTGGCTATGTGCTGAAAGCAGTCGATTAGATTTTGTTAATGTTTTTGTTGTTGTATTACACTAATATAAGGATCTCGACACAATCACTATGAACGCACGATCACGATGAATTTTTATGGATGTACACACGAGGCGCAGGTAAAGTACAATTTTCTTCTTCTAATTTAAGAAAAATATTCAGTACCGGAATTAGTTCAAGTAACACAAAAAAAAATGTTTTGTATGCAAATGACGCTAACAAAGTTTTTATATGTAAAATGTATGCGAAATCTGGAGAATTTACTATGATTTAAAATTTCTTTTTAAACAATCGGTTAAGGGATGATATTTTAAATCTTTGTATATTTTTAAATGGTTGATATTTTGTAGATAGATGTCTCTTGAAGTTCTGTAAAGAGAAACGAAACATAAAATCAAAAAATTAATTACTTTTTTCTTAATGGTTACAAATTTTATATAAAAGCGCATATTTTTATTACAATTCTACTAGCCCCGCGTTGCGCGCACCTAAAATCTGGAATCAACGTTAGCAAAATTTCCGTAATAGTGCCAACAGATACAAAAATCTCAATATACTAACTTAAAACACAATACACTCACCATTCATGTCCGTAATCTCAAGATCATCAGTAAATAAAAAAGTGTTTACTTGCTGACTGGTTCTGTTTCTGTATAATTTTTTTCCTAGTCTTTACCTCTCAAATCTCCCACCCCAAAAGTTAACCACATCTGTATATATAAGTAATAAAATTCTCGTTATTTATTTGATTCGCCTTTTCAAAGGTTAATAAATCAATATAGCTGTGTGTGCGTAAGATGAATAATCGTTGCTGTAAATTACAATTGGTATTTTCTCTTGTTCATGTATGTGTTTCTAAAAACTTTCTTTGTTCTCTATTACGCTGTTCAGAGTTGAAACACATGTAGAGAAGTTATCCAAGGTAAGATGAAAACAAAAATTTTATGTCGATCTCTCATCGTGTGCAAGAATGCGAAGACAAATATCCTTTCCTACAAGGTGCCTAGGAAAATAACCTACACGTATACCTGCATAAAATTATCTCGCTTTTTAAAAATTTTTCTTTGTTAAAGGTCATTGATGTTCTTGGTAAAGTTCTTCGAGTTTTACACTTTGATTTGAAAGTAAGTGCGAGCATCATTTGAAATGTGGTGCAATTAATCAATTCATACCGAAAAAAAAAAAAGAAGAAAGAGTAGCAAACTGCTATTTCGAACGAACTTAATTAAGATATGTATTGTACAAATAAATCGCGAAAGCAAGAAATTCAACCTACTTTTTCATATGAATTTTGTGACCTCGTTTCGATATACGAGATGTTAGTTATTAAAAATATACTGTTCGCTAAACACCTTTTTAACACATAATCCAAACTAATTTTGCGAAATTTCACTTGCTAAATTAAATTCGAGTAAATCTTATGTTTTGTGCAGGATAGGTCGACGCCGACGGAAATTTGCTAATACGAGATTTAAGGGTAAAAATGGATTTCTTGGAATTTTCTAAATTATCATCCAAGTCTTTTTAACTTATTAAATACATTTCTATGTATCTACTGGAAGATTTCAGATTTTCTTTAATCTTGCGTTTTTTTTTTTTTTTACTTTATTGCCGCCATCTTGTTTAACAGCGTTACATTGCGCGCTGTTTCTCTTTTCTCTATTTTTTCTTAATATTCATACTGTGATTCATGATGTTTTCAAACTAAACTGTTTTTAATAAAAATGTTTATTTTCCTCGACATTTATTAAAAAGAAGGAAGAAATATCTTATCCCAGCAGAATAAGAAATATCACATTTATTGATTCTTTTTCAAGGCCCCTTCCGTGTGACCAAGCCCGAATATCAATTTTTTGTGGATATTTTGTCTTATACATACACTTGACATACGCACACATAAACGCAAAACTCAAGTACACATTTTCCTAAATTCGTCATTGGAAAATATTCTTGGTTTCAGAAATTTTCAATAATTTTCATTATTTCGATAATATTTTGCAATTTTTTCACTATATTAACATCTTTAAATGAATTTCATAAGATTTAAGAAACTTACCTCTATGTAAAATATATTTTTACTGCAGAATTAATGCACAAAGACGAAATTCCAAAGACAAATATCAAAGTGAAACAAAATAGTGAAGTATAAAATTTTTTCTAAAAGCATTGGACATCAAAAAATCATCGGAACTAGGGTTTCAACTCTACTGTTATTGCATTTTCGAAAATGAGTTGCCAACTTCCAAAAAATTGAAATTACCTACTGAGTTGCCAGATTATAAAAACAGTTAGTAGTTTTGTAGGCACTATTCCTTTAACATATTTGTGTGAATTAATCGGTGTAATCGGGTAGCTGAAAGTAACTATCGCTTTCTTTAATATTTCACGCATGATGACCTCAAGAACTCATGTTTCCCTAGTTTACCAACTAATTTGATGAGTGGAAATAAAAAAATATTCAAATGTAGAAAACCAACAAATGTTCGAAAAGTAAAATTAAGGAAAATCAATATAAAAACCTAAATAAACAATATAGAACTCGCAAAGTGAAAATAAGCGAGTATAAAAATAGTAAGAGATGTTAAAAAAAATTTGAAGTATAACAAGGTAATGATAAAAATTGGGAAATTATATTTTTAGATTGATATAAATCGTGTTTATTTCCGGTTCTAGCATTTTTTGTGACATATGGGGCGCGCAGTTTGGCTGTTTACAGTAACACCATATGGCTCACCAAAGTCGGCCAAATCTAATAAAAAGTTCGATTTCCTTTCAAGTCTGATATAACCGAAAATATCTATGAATATATTAATGTAGTGTTGCGAGTATTTTGTCCAAGAAACAAAATCATATTAAGTAGTCAGTATACTTTTCGGTCGTTTGCTATACTTTTCATATTATTCACGTTCCAAGCACAGTTTGATATTAAAATGGTCATCTATATTTTTATTTAAAAAAATTTTATGCGCGACAACGGCCTTATTAATTGCGTTTTGCTTCAAAAAAATATTTCACTTTATTATTGTATTACATTAATGTTTATGTAAGCAAACGCTGCTCATATGATTTTGCTTTAACAATTTACGCTTTAATTATCATATTTTTTCCGATATTTTTGGCTAGTAACTTTTTTGTAATTGTTATCGGAGAATAACTTGAACTTGGTGTTTATTGCCATCACAATAAACAGCTGATTTTTTTGATTTACTGCCGGGGAGTTTCGGCCACGTAATTTCAATTCAGTTTAATGTGTTGCATATGAGGCATAATTTCGGCGAATTTTGTTTGTGAATATTCCGAAATATGAAGCTCTCGAAACATTTGATTATCGTTTCGATAATAATAAATGTAGCACTAGCTGCAGAAAAATTCACGAGAGCTGATGTCAAATGTCAAGGTAGGCTTTATAAAGTAAAGAGGTTATTTTAAATTAATTTATGTATATATATATCTCATCAGTATGCAAAGTTGTGATAAAGGAAATGACGGATGAAGTGGCAAAAGTGGGTCCAAATAAAATAGTAGAAGTTGGCGGTTTCCGTTTAGATTCTTCTGGAAATGCTGTTCGTCAAAAAAAATCTCTGACGAAGTCCGAAATGTTTTTAACAGAATTGATGGAGAAAGTTTGTAAGTGGATAAAAAATAGTATACTGATAAAATGATTTACATGCATTAAACTCTCGCATTATAAACCAGGTGAAAAACTGAACGACTACGTAAGAGTAACTGATAAGAAGACTGGTAAATTGCGTTTAATCAAACTCATGGTTGACGGTATGCTGAATCCAGATACCTCTGAAGTTGATTTCGTTCAAGACGATGATTTGAATAAAAGTCTACCTGTCTATGTAAGCGATATTTTAAATTAAGGAGAAATATCTTTAACAATCTCAGCTTTCGATTTTATTATAGTGTCTAGAAATAATTGAAATTCAAGAAGAGCCGCTTATGAAAGCTTTTCAAGCGGACATATTAGATGAGAACTTGGATATAAATATTTGTACAGAAATAGGCAATTATTGCCAAGATGCTCTCATAGAGACAGACTACGATTTCGAAGAAAAAGAAGAGCTGTGATAGCATTGTTCACTCGGAGTTGAATTGCACAATTTTCCCGAAACATTGCTTTATTGGTTTTTGTTAATAATTTAATATAGTCTTATAAAATAAAAATAATTTTTAAAAAAAAATTTTGTAAATTTTAGTATAAGTACTATTTTTATGTTTTAGTTAGTTTTTATGACATTAAACATAAAACTACAAAATTTTAAAATCATTGCCAACAATAAAATCTCTTTACTTAAATTAATTTAAAGTTCACGTGAGAATTTTGATAACTTTATGAGTCGAACGAATTTGGTTTCGCAGCGATCACTGACCCATTTTTGCACTTCTTCAGTATTTCGAAACAGTATCTAAGAAATTTAATTCTTTTTTCATAACGATTTTATTGATATACACTTGGATAATGAAAGATATGCCTTAGAAGACTGGTTGGATGATAGATTTAACAACTATCAATCAGTCCGAAGCGCAAGGTATAATTTTGAATCTGCATTGATGATCGAATCAACAGCAAAGCCGAAACGGTTTTTATGAAAATCAATTATTACGGCTCAGAAGTATTATCCTTGCAACTGTATTTTCACTCTATCCTAGTCCGGTCTAACCATTAAAATCCAATTACGAACAACTATTCAGAGGCCTGCTTTTAAGATTTATTGTTGAAAGCTCCTTCAAAAGTGCACAGTCAAATTGGAATATCACTAAAGGGAGAAGTTCTCCAAATCGTTGGTAACCGTAATGTCAGCAGACATAGGGTAATTTTAAAAGCCAGATTAACTGAAGCAAGCTATCTTTTCACTCTTAGTGAATGTAATAGCAGATATTCCTTTGCATTCTTGTAACTTGAAATTAATATTAGCACAATACATGTAAAACAAATGAGAACGAATATATGCTTATTCTCAAAGCGGCACAATACATGCACAAGAGTAAGAGAATAAGCGTATATATTCTCAATAATTCGAAAAATGAGAGAATAAGCGTCCCATTTGTTTACATTTGTTGAATAATTGTTCATATTTACATGCTTTTCATCCTTGGCCAGCGATCTCGTATATAATATCAAATCTTTCCCTTTTCACTCATTTTGGAGCTGTTATATTAAAAACAAAAAATTGCATATACCAGATTTGGAGACGATTTGCATATCGTGTATTTAGGCGCAATATTTGCTCGGGTTAAATTACCGATATTTCAATAGATTCAAATAGCGATGTTCGCAATTGGCATGAGGCTAATCTTGGAGCATTTATAAACGATGGGCAAAGATTTCCTTTTTTCCACCGCGTGTTCACATATCTTGGAAAATTTTTCCTAAAATGTCCTCACTTTATTTTTGGGGAAGTATATTTATCTATATATATGTGATGGGACCTGTCGCTAGCGGGATTTGTACAGCACAATCATTAAATACTATCCCCAGGAAAGGAAGTTTTCAAAACTATTCCAAACTTCAAACTTCTACATTGACCAATAGGTTTAAATTGATCGATTTAGTTCTATATCTGTATTAATCCCTGCGTGTGGCCTGTGTTAGCAGATTTCGTTCTACATACTAATCCGTCAACTCAGCCAATGAGCAACCAAATAAAACTGGTAAGCAGGATAAATTGTAAGAAAGAAAAAACTATAAATGATCTTGTTTTTAAAGCCAGAATAATATATAATCCGTCTCGGCCGCCTCCGGTACCATTATTGAGCTCTACTGCCAATGAATCTATTGAAGCTCCCGTTGAATATGAACCGGAAGAACAACCGCTTATGAAAGCGGAATAATGTTTCGAATTGCCATCGGTCGAACCCCTTACTTTCAAAATACCTATTGAGTTGGCAGTAGAAGCTCCTAGAGCAGAACAAAACCGGCGACTTGAGCCAAAGTTTTTTGCGAACAGTTATTAGCACACTTTGTATTAAGAGGATTCGAGAAAAGGAGAACGTTTGATGCGTACTCTCGCACCCCTCCTTCAACCTGTTGATGTTCCCCATTTGGATTGCATTCCATTGATCGTTAGGCTCAGCATGTCTCTGTACACATTCTCCGCCGAAAGTATAAAACCGAATCTTGATTTGTAAAAAGATTGTATAGTGAGATATATATTTATATATTAAAAAGCATTTTAAAAGTATCTTTGAAATAGAAAGGTGCAATAGAAACGTTTCCTATACTTATGAAGATAGATTTTTATTCATGTTAAGAAGAAGTAATGAATCTGGACCTATTTGCTAATGGTTTTTCAAACTACAGATAGACTGACACTGAGTCGTTGACTGGTTGAGTCGATTTCTCTCAATTCTGCTTCTTTATAAATGCAAGGCTTACGTCCTCAATGAAATGTGTAGAAAAAATTACCAATATTTCACTCACTCCTATTGACCACATATCCTTAATATTTGTTTATTCTCATAATTAAATAATTTGTGTTAAGAGCCTTCCTATTCACTTTATGCACAACTTTCTTATATTTTACCTTAATCTTGACAACGTGCCCTAACTCAGTGTTATGTTCTCATTTACACGGTCATAATTTCAGGGTTATTTCATATGAACATATCAAAGAATCAGAAGCGTGCCAAAAATCCCGATAATACGTAACATTTTTATTACTATTACGTAATTTTTTTTTTTTTTTTTTTTTTTTTTGCTTTACTTACTCTTCCTGTAGTCATTAACAGTCAAGTCATTGTAATTGAAATCCATCCCTTACCCATATTTAACTTATAATAAATAATGTCGGAAAAACGTTTAGTGTAATAGAAATATATATTTACTATGCTTTGCACGTGTGTATGTATATATGTATATGTATATGTGCTTGGCGACCCTTACACAGCCATATGAATAGAAATTCCTTGCAATGATACGGCAATCATCACACAATCGTTTTTATTATTAAATTCTGTCCCAAGAAGTCCATGTGACTTGTGGAGATCGCAACAGCAGCACAAGTTGAATTTACAGACAGTGCCAGAAATAAAGCTCTTGTGCTCATTTTAAAACTTTTAAAACATTAATATGCAGGCAGGGTGATGGGCATTTGGTTGTCTTTTCATTTCAAAGGAGCATACGTTGCTAGGAAGATATGAGTATTTTTATCAGAAATTAAGGACGGCTTTATGATACATATGCGTAATAACTCGTGCCATTTGAACATTGAAAGACGAACGCGTCAAATCCCACTTGATATTGAATCAATCGCTACAGTAAAAGACGGGTCTATCTGAAGCTCTTCTGGGTAATGCATACATCTGCATAAACTTCATATATCTTTGTACCAGAAGTGATGTAGGGTACAATAAAAAGATTTATGGATGCCATTCAATTATCTGCGTCTGGTCGGCTGTTTGTTTTCTTGTCTCTTTTACGTATTGCGAATTACTTATTAACTTTCCGGCAGATCAGTTGCAAGAACAGCGCAGAAATCCTCCTCCTCGTAATCATTAGATTAAAACTTTTTTTTCTATCACTGTGTGTACGTGTAATGGAAATCAAGAAAAAGTTTTAATTTTATATGCTGATGACATGCATCTACACTTACTTGGTTTTGCTATATAATACTTGAGGAGAGCAAACAAATTGTTTAAACATACACAGGAGTTGGTGATGTTGTGATGGTGTTTTAATAAAAATAATATCAAAAGCACTATTAATACTTATTTTACGGTATTGTCGTCAAATTATCGCATGACAGTAAAAATATATATAATAGGGCTTTTAAAAGCACTAAAGACCACACAAGCACTGGCAAGGAAAAGGCAAATCCACACTCATCGACGTAGAGAAGGGAAGATGCGGGGATGTACTGCTGGTGCTGGTTCATCTTAATATGAAAAAAGGTCATGAATAACGTTAACACACATATATATACACACACTCAACTAATATTTATGAACAATAAATGTCAAATTAAAAACAAACGTTTGTCAATATTTCGTGGGTGACTGAGGGATAGCAGTTATTTCAAAAGTTTCTAATGCTCGAGATTAAATCTCAAAGAATCCTTTAAAGATGTATACAAAAAACATTAATCATTTGTCAACTTTGCTAGCGTAACGAAAAGACAATAATTTAAACGTTCGATGGGAACAGACAGGATTTTTGAAAGGATTTCAACTGACCTTCGCATACAAGTAGAAATAAGTAAGAAAATGATTTTCAAGTGTGATCGAATCTTTGACACCCATCAGCGTTATCCTAAAATGAGACAAAAAAAGGAGAGATATCGAATATTTATTCTGGGTGGGCGTGGCCGATTTATTCTATTTTTTATAGAATAAAAGTGCAAACTTTTTCTTATCTTGTGCCCAGTGCAATTTATGTGTAATGAGCAAAAAGCACGGAAAGCAAAGGTGTTTGTATCTTTTGTTGCTTTGGTAGCGTGTTCTTTAACCGATTCGGGACACTTTGAAATTCTTTTGCAAATTGGTAGACGATGTCTTCAGTTTTGCGAACTGTTGAGTAGGCGGACAGATGGACAGCCGAACATACGGAGGTGGTTAGCTACATTCCGAACTTGATTCCGGTTAAAAATGTATATACTTTACGGGGTTTTTCCAAGAAAGAGCAAATTTTGATATGGGTAGGCGTGGCTAGATTTTCATTTTTCTATATAGGTAGCAGAGCATAGCCAAAATGAAAATACGTTTGTATGTTTATGAGTTTATCTCGTACTGTTCTTTAGCAATAAACCAAAAACGAATTTTTCTTTTTGTGTTTGGAAAATAGAAGAGCTTTCAGTTTAAGTGGTATTGCAGGTGTGCGTTTCCACCGATTTAGTGCATGCACCGACCTGCAAGCAAGAACTTTCAATATTTCTGCCAACTTTGAAGCCGACCGCCTCATTTCTTCATATTGAAGAAAATATTTAAAGCAGACATAACGCGGATGGACGGACAAGGCTAAATCGAGTCAGAATTCGATGCTGATCAAATATGCATATATTTTACGGGGTCCTCTCAAGCCTCCTTCCTTGTTCGCGTTGCAACGGTTTTGACAAAGTGAACATATTTTCCATCCTTCGGTTGAAATTTTTGAAGGGCTAAAAGCTACGCAGGAAAGCATAAACTCATAATAGTTGGAAATTAAATGCTAATAACAAAAGAGAAAAAAAAAAGACAACTTATCCAAAACGTATGCTG